TAGAAATTCAGGGAAATATTCATTCCTCTAACCTTTGACGGTCGTTCATGAATAATTTTAGTGATCCTCTCGCATCCTGACGGGTTTTGGTTTGAATTCGGTCAGGGATGCACAAAATGCAGATTGCTGACAAGCCCAGAAACAATCAGAAACAGCTATCCAGTGCATCTTACTTGTTCTTCACCAGAATCTCTGTTGCATATTAATATTTCAAATGGGAATTTGTCGTTTATATAACAAATAAAGCGTGAAGTGAAAAGCTAGGAAGCACAACTGGACAGCGGTTTCGACTTGGTTGGATCTGATCAGCAGTGTTCGAATACCTCGACCCAACTCGGAATCAAACCCGTGATATCAGAGGCAGAATGCAAGCGTACTACTTGGCCACCGGACAACCGATCAGACCGTTTCCATTTTCCAACTACAGGATATAATACAAATGGTGTGAATATCATATATATATGTATTCAACTGCTGGGCAATTAACAAGCTGTCGCGCAGTAAAACTCACACCTGACACCTTAAATAGTACCTGAAACATGTAAATAGAACAAGGGGCTATACTAAACATGAAGAACCAGAGACAACCAGCAAAATGGATGCGATATATCCAATATAAAACAGGAATTGTTATTTACAAACGCTGCTGATGCTTCGTCCGCTTCAAAGAGAAACTTTACTATCGAACTGGCTGATTGATATCAATACCGTATTAATCACCAAAATCTAAACAAAAATGAAGCAGAAACTAAATCATAATACACATGGATCGGAACACAACCAACACCATCCACGACGTTTTCATTTTAAAACCCAAACTGGAAACTCTATTATCTTGGACGGCAAAATTTGGACATTTGTCCCGCACACTGATCAAATTTTTGCATAGTTATTTCTGTTCAGGAGAACGTTACTCTTGGATTAATTAATCGACAGAACTGTGAAATTCCCACTCACAGGTTATACGAAGCCGATCAGAGAAGGCACCTTTGCCTTGCGTGTTCACTGCGCGGACGGCCACAGCACAAGTGGAACACGAAACCCCGCCAACGGAAGGTGTGTTTGATGTGACGTGGAAGATTTGTCGAACTTCTTGACCGTCAAAAAGAATCACTGTGTAGGAAGTCGCCCTGGAAATCGGGGTGAACTCAAGATCCAGTGTTCGCGTTTTTCCATGAAGTATTGCTTTGGAGATTCTGGGTACGTGAAGACCTAATTTGAGGTTGCAAATAAATGGCAAACTTTTAATTATGCTCATGATAACCCTTTTAGGTGGATTGCGTTTTTACATTGCTTAAGACAAACGATTATAGCGCTTTGAATAAGAAAAGCTCAGTACTTTAAGTGAAGTGTATGGTGACACCTGGTGACCCTGCTGTGGGTTTCTTGGTGCGTGGGACCGGGGGCATTTAAAGGACTTTAAAACCATTTCAGTCGAAATCAGGATAGCCCAAATGAAACAACAGCTATATTGCTTGTAAGCATGTTGCCACTCCCCACTGGATACACAACAATGACGTGAATGGGTCTGAGATATCAATTTAAACTAAAGAACGCAAGTGGGGCAGCACTTGTTGACCCTGATTTGTTTCCGATGACCAATCACTTCTTTATTTATACGAGACGCTGTTCATATCATTTAACTCGAAGTCGATTGTCGGCACCATCCGGCTTCATCCTGCTTAATTGCTGCAAGGCGATTTCGGAAAAAGAAATTATAATCACATAGTGATCATAAGATATGACGGAATGCGTTTCAATCGTGTCGTTGCAGTGTAGCGATCTCCATGGTCTGTGTTTCAGTCCGAGCTGGGACTCACATATAATAAGTACTGCTAATATATATCGTCTCACGTGGTGAGAACAACTATCCAGTCTTCATGAATTTTGACATTCAGAAACGTATCACAATGAAAACTGACCTGACCACGTTCTCGTGGGTTCGATCATAGATGATAAGACCGCAATCACGTTATTATGGTAGCGTATCAACAGGTGACATTCGGAGCATGGTGATGTCATCGCAAACAGCGATCTACCCGGGTTGACTGCAAAGCGTTGTAAAATTGTATCTTTTCGATTCCATAGAATTTCAATAGACGGATTCCAACGTGCCGTTTCCGCGGATATCTCAACATAAAGTTGATTTCTTCGGCTTAAAGTGGCTTCAGTAATTTTTGGTTCCAACGCTTCCAGTTGACCGGCATCTAAATTTAAAGACAAAGTCGATTTAATATGACCACAAAAATGACACATTTGTAGGTCGGTGGATCAGGAATGAAAGACATGAATTGGTGTATTAACTGCAAGGAACATTACTGTTAAAATATTGCACATATGAAAAGCCGTCCGGGGGTAGCACACAGTAAGCGAATACGACGAAATGGATTTCAACAACATAGAAAAGTGCTTGTATACCGGAATACTCTTTTGTTGCTTACCAATAGCCTCGATTAGGGCGTAAGGAGATAGTGCAACTAGAAAAAACCAAAACGTGTGCATAGTAGAACAAAATGTCACAGTGCTGAATAATGATAGACGAGAAGTAAACTCTCCACGCATATATATATATCCTTTTTTCAAGCCCAAAACCGGCGGTAATGAATGATGCAAATTGAGGTCATGATGGAGAACGGTGTTGCAGAGCACCTTTTCCACACACTGGGTTATCTGCCTAGATGAGTGAAGCCAATCCAAAGGCTCCAGAATTTCATTTTTGCGCAATGTTCATGTTAATAAAATATGTGAGAATAAAGTTCCCCCCAACACATTTTTTCACTTTTTCACACCGAGATCTTTTTCAGCAAACTGTGTAAAAGCACAGAACGCGGGAATGCCTAACCTCCCGCACACGTTCTCGATTCCACTCTAGGCCTTTTACAAGGTTAGGCGTTCACTGGATCGACGAACACGCACTTTTATGTGTGTGATTTACGGTGAGAATAGCAACACGTTGGCTAAAAAAAGGATTATATTGTTGTTTGGCATAATTGAAGTTTGCATGACGATTGTGAAAAGTTCAGTAGCCTCGGTGGAATTCGAACCCACGCACGGACGCCGCCTACGGTTTTGTACAACGCACGCTCTACTAGCTGAACGTGCGCGCACGAAGTCCAATCGGCGTCGTCCATGCGTGGGTTCGAATCCCACCGAGGCTACTGAACTTTTCACAATCGACATACAAACTTCAAATGTGACAAACAACTATTTGAACAATTCACCTTGTCTGAGAAGCTCATTCGGTGGAGTCCGGTGAATTGTAAGGAAAACCTGTCGAAGCAGTCAGCTTACATGCTAACTGGTGGATGCCACATGCCTCTCTCTGTAAGTTGGATGAGTAAATTGGAATGTGAAAAAGATCAGTGCTATCGGTTTGGCCTCGTAGCTGAGCTGGTAGAGCATGCGCGTACAAAGCGTGGGCGGTGTCCATGCGTGGGTTCGAATCTCACCGAGGTTACTGAACTTTTCACAATCGCCATGTGCAATGGATCAGTCAAGGAGAATGGTTGCTCACAACACAGCTGTGCGATGGCAAGCAAGCTGCTGAAACAACTAGTCAGAAATGTGTGCTGGTGGTTTGTTAGTTTTATTTTTTTCACCGTTCACGCGTACGATTATTACAATAATACATCTTGTGTTTTGTAAAATGTGAAGAACAAAATATTTCATTATACGAGATCTAACTGCGGTCAAATAAGCTCTGAAAAGTGACACCTATTCTGGTTTAGGCCGCGATTTATGATGATCTTCAATAGGGAAAGAGAATGTTTCGATTCAGGCAGCCAACAGTGTTCAACGCGTTGTTTGATTGTTCCCTACTTGGAATTTCATCCTCTGGACACGGTATTATCATAGTTAGCCAAATGAGCGAGTAAAACATTGTACTAGATTTAAGTGACCGTGATAATTCAAGGCTACAAAATACAAAACAAGTTATCACTCCGAATTTCGGTACAACTGGAAAATGTTCAAACAACACCCGATCTCGTTTATGAAAACCTACTTTTAACACAGGAAGCATTTACAGCGAATGTCAATGTCATTCTGATCTTATGCAGCTAGACTTAACATCTCTCTTGAAACTTGAAACATTACTTCCCCTGTATCAAATTCATTGGAACAGAGAGAAAACAACTACTGCATGATGTTAACATTTTTTCATCTTCTCAGTTGCCATAACGTAAAACAATCTGGTATTTATATAGGCAAGTTTTGGTAACTATACAATGGTTCAACGGACAACGGACAGGGTCGCTTGGGGGAGATCAGTTCCAAGGCAGTCTGACTGATTGTACCGTACAGCTCCGATTGATACCATATAACCATATAACCCCGC